TTACAAACTTCATATTCAATAAAGTTCTAATTAATTAGTACAAATTCAAATATATATTCATGCCAAATATTTTAACCACATGGGAGGTGAGTGAAATTCTTGAAACAATTCCATGAGAACAACCTTGGTTACTTTCCTAAAATATGACTGCAAGGACCCAATCTTTTGTACACGATATCCATAAAATGGATGAAGTAGGAGAGAAATCTTATGTTTAAGTGAGCTTTGGCTGTACCTTTACTTGTCATAATTATTAAGTAGCTACTCTAAGAGCAAATATATGCCATACTATTATTCTTAAAACTAACATACTACTTTGGGAAATGCTTCATACTGTGACAAACTTAAGTGATAAAGTATAGATAGCAATTTCCTTTGTTACCTGGTATAACAGGCTCTTCTGAAAAAAACAGTTCTGATATTATACATGGTAATGAGTTCAACACTGTGTAAGAATTTTTCTGATTTTTTAATGCACAAATACGCTACTGTGGCTAACTAGTTCAACTTACAAGGTTTCTTATGCTTTAAACATAAATGTACTGAAATTTAAATTTTATAATGATGATGATGATGTAATCTGCTGTGATAGATAAATATATATGAGGAAATTCAAAAGAAAACTACGCAAAAAGAAAAAAAAAATTAAGCTTTTTTGCATTTGCTTTTTCCCCACACAGAATTTCACTAAGGAAATACAGTCAGTTACATTCAAAACTGTTTTGGCAAAACTGCCAACTTTGTCAACACATGTGACTTGTGATATAGCTTTTAAAGGAAAAAAAAAGACCAATGGATCATTTATGAAACTATGAATTCTGAAGATTGAACAAATTGGACTTTCTGTACAATGTCAACTATGCAACCAATTTTATTTAAAAGGCAAAACAAGCAAAAGAAAATCCTCTAGCATTTGATACAAGGTAAAACTTCAGAGCTTTCTACATTATGATGAACTATATTTATCTTTCCATTTCTAATAGTAATACTCTTACTTTCACCTTCAAACTAGGCTCTAAACCTCTACTATATACCAGTTCACCTTTAATAAAAGTTGTAGCCATAAAATAGCCTGTTTAGCAAGAAAGAACGACATAAATATTGGCCATTCAGAGTTTAACATTAAACATTCTAGAAGCTAGAATATGTCAAGATTTCTGTTCAATATACATTATTCACAACTAATAGGAATTATCAAAAATGAAGATACTAAAGTGACTATATGTTTCCATTTCTCCAAAAAGGTCCAACCTTACAACCTATTGTCCTGACAAATTACACACCTTTTCACTTTTAAAAAGGTCTTGGATTAGAAGATAAATCATACAGTCATACTAGCCATTAAAATATTTCATATTATTAAATGACATCTTTTGAGGATTTTATGATGTAACATTCTTACTTGAAAAATCTTTCTAACTTTAAAACTTTGGCTAATTTGCACAGTATCATGTATCCTGTCATTTATGGCACACATACCAGTATCACCCAAATTCTGTTGCTCATCTGTTTTCTGATGTGTTTTAGGTATTCAACCCAGGATGGAGTCTTCCCTCTGTCTTTAGATAATAAACAGAGTTGGAAAGGTCCTTTTCTTTTAGTCTCATACCAAATTCACATCTTTTCTTAATCTTGGAGTCTCCCCAGAATCTTCAAAATACTGTAATTGTATCTATTCAAAACTACAAGTGGCTACCTTCTTGTCCTTTTTATGCACATGTTAAAATGTCTGTGTATTAAACACTATTTAGGATTCATTTAATAGTATGTTTGTACTCATTTCTATAAAAGCTAAGTATCAGACAATCATTCTTTTAACAATATGTATGTGTCTGACTCTGCTAATACTCAGATTTGACCTAAGCACTGGAAATAGCTCTGAGTTTAAGAGTCAGTGATCTGATCTAAATGTTGGTCATCACAAAAGGCACCTGTATGAACTTTGTATGTAATCTTGCTCAATAATGTAGGATCACAAACATCAAATTAGAAAAGTCAAGTGCTTGCCTACAGCCTAAGGTAGGCAGCAACACCACTGAGCTAAATCCCCAGCCCTACTTGCCTAGTGCTTTCGAAAGATGACTAAGTCTAATACAAAGTAAATACACTGAACAAGTTAAAATTATCAGAGATTTTTAAAAAAACTACATTGTTGGGGGGTATTTAGAAACACTCTGGTTCAGAACTACATTATACTATCTACACATACAAAACTGTTACAGGCTTAAAAGAATGGTCAAGTCAAATTAAATGAGTTCTAATCCCAGTGCCAAGACTCACTCTGTTATGAAAAGGACAAAATTATTTAACATCTCTAACACTTCTATTTCCTCCTCCTGAAAACGAAGATAACAGCACTTATCTCACTGTGAACATCAACAAATAATACATATAAATGATATGAGCACTGCGCCTACACATAAGATCTCAATGTTAGCTATCATTTTAAAAATCTACCATTAATGTCTCTTTGAAAAACAAGACCTAAAAAATGATTCTGATGTCAGAAGAAAATTTCACATATATGTGTATGTGGTGTTTGTGAACACACAAATACGTATCATCCAAAAGAAAGATTAGTCGGATGACATTGCTAGTACTACATAAATATATGTTAATAGTGTGGCCTCAACAGATTATCACAAGAGCTAATACACCTTATTCAGTACTGGAGAGACAGCTTGTTTTCTCCAAGAGAAAACCACACTGGCATACTGGAACACATTTAAAAATAAAATTCCATATCTAACAGTATGTGTGGCTGTTCATCTGTAGAACAGAAAAGTCACAGATATGTATGAGACATTTCTAAATCCATGTATCAAAATCAAAAGAAACCACTTCTTTCAAGGCAATTCATACAAAGAAATTAAAGCAACACTCAAATGAAATATTCACATATTCAACTGATGTTTTAAAAATTTGGATATATGCATAACTTACAATTCTATAGTGAAATTCTATATATGTGTGTGTGTATGTGTGTATATATGTGTGCATGTATATACGTATATACATACATACATACATACATACATATATGTGGGGGGGTTAGATTTTTTTTTTTTTTTGCTATCAGGGATCAAACTTGGGACCTTGCGCTTGGGAACCACTGGGCTAAATCCCCAACCCCCTTTTTTTTTTTTTGGTATCAGGGATCAAACTTGGGACCTTGCACTTGAGAACCATTGGGCTAAATCCCCAACCCCCTTTTTTTTTTTTTTTGTACTGGGGATTGAACTCTGGACCTTGTGTTTGCAAGGCAGGTGCAGCACTGCTGAGCTAAATCCTCAGCCCTATTTTCACTATATTTCAAATAGAACTTTTCTTTTTTTTTTTGGCTTTTTGAGACAGGGTCTCACTGTGTTATTTAGGCTGGCCTCAAACTCATGATAATCCTCCTGCCTCAGCCTTCTGAGTGCTGGGATTGTAGGCCTTGCCACCACACCCAGCTCAGTATCATTTTAGTTTGGTAGGTACAATGCAGCATTTTTCAAAAGTGTTAAAATGTAAAGTATATAGTAACTCAATCCAAGAAAACACAAAATAAAGACCATGTTGAGCATATGACATTCTTTTATTCAAATGACTACTTTAACCTATTCAACTACTCAACAACAGAGCCCTACTAAGTACACTATGTTATGATACACAAAATGAAAAAAGAAATTATATTTTTTTGGGGCCGGGAATTTAGCTCAGTTTGGGTGCTGTGTCGGCCTGAGTTTGATCCTCAGTACCAAAAAGAAAGAAAAGAAATTATATTCTTTGGTTAAAAATATAAACTTTACATGAAGGAATTATTAAAGAAACATGTCTTACATCTATAAAGATCTTGGTCCATTCTAGCTTATTAAAATAGAACTTATGATATACAATAAATGTCATTATGACTGATATAAAAATCTATATAAACATCATGCTGTTTTCCAAATCCTCATGTAACGGGGATTTAAACAACAAAGACTATCTCAGTCAAAATTGGAATTCATTTCTATGAATCTTTCTAAAAATGTTCCAGTAGTAAAACAGATTTGCCCCTAAAATAAAACTAAGATACCATTATTAATTCTAAAGCAAGAAATAGGGACCTGTTTTTTGGTATCGGGGATCGAACTTGGAAACTTGCAATTATGAGGCAGGCAGCAGAACCACTGGACTAACTCTCCAGCCTGGACCTGTTTTTTAGAGATATGAAGGACCATGTAGGCTGAAGTTTACATGGTCAATCTCAGTTTACTGATGATAGATGCTATCACTAATCTGTACAAGATTCTATAATAACCATGCACACAACACACTGATATTTTTGCCACCTACAGGTAACCTTAACAGATAAATTTAAAGCTAAACAAAGCATAACTGAAATTGTATGAGTACTATAAATTACCAACAAAAAAAAATCCATGAACATTTCAATGAATATACTTTTGCCTTACAGCTAATACTTTAATTTTCAAGAACCACAAAGAAAGAAAAAAAGCAAAACTAGTCAGTAACAACGCAGCATCTAAAAGCAATAAACTCAAAATTAAGTTATAAATAATTTAAAGCATGTCATGAAGATGTATTAATAATTCATCAGATAAATAATTTACTAAATAATCAAATAAATAAATAATGAAATACATAAATAAATCAGCAAATAAATAATTCTGCAAAATAACCTAAACAATAAGCCACCCAAACAAATTTCAACCTATAAAATGACAATGATTTTTTTTTATTCTGATAGTTTTAAATAAGCAAATGTACATAACCAGATCAATCCTTGTTATATTTGGAAATATTTTTCAATGCTATCATAAAATCCTCATCTTAATTTATAAGAATATATTTTCAATTTTTAAACAACTGCATAGGATTAGTTCTCATAAATTATTAGCATGATTATATCTTCCTCTACTTTACATCTAATATCTTTAACATATTTTCTCTCACATAGCTGGACACTTGGCAATGGTCTTCAATTACACTTTTTTTTACAAAGAGATACTTACAGTATAGGAATGCTACAGTCTGACAGTTTTTCTATCTTCACCAAGTTATTAGAAATGTTCTGCAGGGAAAGAGAACAATAAGAATAACCTAATTGTAGATGACATTTAATTCATTAGTAGACAGTGATTCATAATCCTACAAAATAACAATAAAAGTGGACAGCATTCATTGTAAACTCTGTCAAGGTTTTAGAAGTCTAGTAGACTAAATTCAATCCAACAGAGTCAAGCTTTCTCTATTGGAGCTGACACACAAGCTGTTGCAATTGGCAGTATTTCAGATATGAAAACAAAAAGGACCAAGTTGATTGGCTCACATCTAAAGCTATCTTCAATTTAGGAAGATCAGAGTCCTTCAAAGAACACAGTAAGATCACTTAAATGCTACAAGGAACAGAGTTACAATCTAGCCCATCATAAAGTATGAAAACACAAATAGCCTAAAAACAAGTCCTCATTTATCTTAAATTCTTTACTACCAAAGTATAGTATTTGTGAAATCTGTAAATATGTTGCAAACAATGACAGCTTTCCTCATGGATATATGAACTTTGTGATAGGCTCTAACACATTTAAGGAAACAAAGTCAAAGGATAAAATACATTTGAAGAGAAGAAAACAGCATAAATCAAAGTGCTGTATCTTATATAATTTATCTTAATGATTTCTTATACCCTTTCAAGTTAGATAGTATTTTCCCCATCTTACAGTCAAGGCAATTGAGGTTTAAGACAACTATAGAAACCATACACAATGCCCAAAGAGGAGGGAAGATTCAATCTCTTGTCTATGTAACTTCTATGTGAAGATTCACTGAACTACAAATTGGAAATTAATCTAAAACAGAAATTTCTAAAATATACAATTTCACTTAAAGCAATGGTGCTCCACATAATTTTGTTACCCACAAGGGACATTTGGCAATATCTGGAGATAATTCTGGGTACTGTAACTGGAGAGTGTTTTGACATTAGGAAAAGGGATAGGGATACTACTGAGCATTCTACAATGCACAAGACTTCCCACTCCTCAACAAAGAACTAACAGGCCCAAAATGTTAACAGTGTTGAGGGTGGGAAACCCTAGAGCAGAGCAGAAAGACTTCTAGTAGTATATGGTTTCCCCAAAAAATATATATTTTGTTCAGGATGTTGAGTCTTTTTTCCATGTCTAATATTATATACAGTGAGATATATATCTTAGATAAAAATGTGTATCCTTGGGAAAGCAAATATGTGGGAACTCCTTATTTCTGCTCAAGTTTTCTATAAACCTGAAACTGTGCCCCCAAATTAGTCTTATTACTTCTTAAAGTGTATATTCTTCACTTATTTAACACTAAAATTATAATTAACTTTCTTAGAAGCAATACTAAAATTAAGTAAACCTATAGTCATAAGAAGTTTTAAAATTTTTCATATATCAAAATTTTTTCAACAGACTTAGTATGAGTGCATTAAAAGTTAAATTAATGATCCCTGTAATCCCAGAACTTGGGAGGCTGAAGCAGGAGATTCACTGTGAGTTCAAGGCCAACCTGAACTACATAGTAAGACCTTGTCTCTCAAAAAATAAGTAAATAAAGTTAAATTAATGAATTCATCAAAATAACTAGTCAAGATATTTAATAATATTAAAGAGTCACTGGGTTTGGTGGATGCCTATAATCCCAGCACTTTGAGAGACTGAAGTAGGAGGAGTGCAAATTCAACCTCAGCATAGACATTTAGCGATTTGGCAAGGACTTGTCTTAAAATAAAAAAAATTAAAGAGTTGAGGAGGTGGCAGGGTGGGGTATGTAGCTCAGCATGAAGACCCCTGGGTTCTATCCCCAGTACTACCAAAGGGAAAAAAAACATTTCTTTTTCATAGAGCTACATTACTCTGATGTCATACAATGTATAATCTTCAATGTTCTGTATTTTGCCTAAAAGCTATGAAGTGTTTTCTAAAATATGTTACAATTATTAAAAGCATTTAACAAAATTCAGCAATTTAATCATAAGCTCCAGAAATTATTTTCCCTATCATTGTAAATATTTTCTTTTTTCAACAATTCTCTTTAGTCTCAACACAGAGTTCATTTTTCAACATGGATATAGCTTCTACCATGACATAATACATATTTCCTTACATCAGACCTCTTACATTACATAAACAAAGGAAAAGCAAGAATATACATTTACTTCTCCCATATAATTTCCAATATATAAAGGTTCACGTGGCAGCTCCAAGCATTGACAACTCAAATTCCTATCACCATTTTGCTCTACCATACTTTTTATTCAAAGTCACATCATCTTCCAAGAAGGCTGTAGGAATTCCAATGAGTATTTCCACAGTCCAGCAGGGAAAAAACCAAGGAAAACAGTTTAAACAGCATCACTCCCTTCTAACTCTTAAGTTTCAGCTTGCATATCGTAAACTATAACTTAGCCCTTTGGTTATAATGAACCACTTGAAAGGCTAGAAAATATATAAAAATAGAAAAAGAATCCAACTCTGCTAATATGCTATAAAAATGTGGTTCTTCTTTTTGTTTTAACTAAGGAAGGAAGAAAAGTTTTGTGAGGTAAATTGTAAGAGTGTGCAATGGTGGTTACATTCTTTAAAGAAAATGAGAGACCTACACAAAGACTCATTAAGAAGTTCACTACAAGGGCCTCGGATTTAGCTCGGTGGTTCGCTGTTTGTGCTTTGCAAGCACAACACTGATTTAAACATTACACAATGTATACATGTATTCAAATATCAGTACACTATTAATGTATACAAGTGTGTTTTTATTTATCATTTTTAAAAATAGGAGCTAGGGATGTGCAGCTCAGTCATAGATTATTTGCCAATAATGTGCAAGATCCTGGGTTAGGGCCCTGTACTGCAAAAAAATTGATGTAATTATTTTAAAAGAATGCAAGATTGATTTCAAAACAGTTTGGACAAAGGAATAAAATATCACAAAAAAATGCCTTAAATTATGAGAAAGAAAAGTGTTTTTTTTAATTCAAGGATTACAAATGTTACATAAGAAGGATGTTCTTTAAATCAATTATTAAACACAAATGAAATGGAGAAAATGTCTTTATCTTTTTAATAAACTCTACAGAATATTCCATAATAAATATCTGAGAAGCATTCAACTGGAGGAAAAATTCTGTATAATTAAAACAAATATCTAACATTTAACATCGATATAGAGAAATGCTTATAATATTAAATGAAAAATATAGGACATCCATTATATGTAAATATTTACAAACACACCAATGTGTGAAATATAGTCCCAATCTTTTTCTAGATATAGATATATGATGGCCTATATATATATATACATATATATATATATATATGTGTGTGTGTATATACACACACACACACACACATTTATCTATAATCATAGACCATCATATATTTAAATATGGAAAAAGAGAGTAAACAAAATTTAAGAAAATGAAATTAAAATGATAATAGTTCAGCTCTGCTTTGAGAAGTTTTTTTTTTCTCCATACATCTCATTACTTTTAAATTTTTCTACATGAACCATACTAATCCTTATTTATTTATTTTGGATCAGGGATCAAACTCAGGACCTCACCCTTGCCAGGCACTGTGCTTGCTGAGCTACATCCCCGACCCATGAACCATACTATTGTAATGATTACTGCTGATGAATGACTTTCACCAAAATCAGAGACGATGTGGTACCCTACACAAGTAGATAAAGACAGGCTTCAATTTCTTTTACTACTTGAAATTTGTGTATTAAAAAAAAAAAAAGGTGTGAAGAAACTAACAGAGCTATATCAAATCCAGTGTAGCAAAATATACATTATTCTTTACTTCATAGTAACAACCCAAAGTCTTTGGGCTCAACTTGTATTCAACTTACTAACACTCACACATCATGTCTGTCAGCTTTGTACAAGACATTCCCAAACAAAGGATACATCCATCATTCAGTTTACCTGGATATATTGATTACTTTGCTCATCTGATTCCGTGGAATTTACCATTTGTCCCTCATGTTTCTACAAATCCTTTCACTTTCTGTATTTCTTACAATTTTAAGAAAAATTTTGCCCTGCTCTACATTTTTCTGGTTACTCGTATAGTGAACACATGTAATAGAAATTACATCTTGTATTTTTATGATTTCCTTGCACTGTCTTGTATTTTCTGGAGTTATTGTGTATACACAAAATTATACTGTGGGTGTTAATTCTGTTATATGAAAGTCTCAAAATTACCATTAATAATGTCTCATAATTTACAACACTTCCAAGTTCTCTATATTTTCTAATGTGATTTAATTCTCTAACTACTATCACACCATAAAAAATAGAAAAATAAGAAATTAATATATCTAAACTACTAACAAGTACACGGGGTCAACAAAAGTAGCAATGAATGAACAGACACAGACACAGACACACACACACACACACACACGTATTCTACAGAAAATCAAGGAGGTAAAATGTCACAGTGGGCAGATATATTCAAAGACTGATTCTTAACTAAGACCAAAATCACACACAGCTAGGAAAGTAGTTGTCACCCAAGGGAAATATTACTCATAAGGAATGCGTGAAATGTCTGAAATTACTTTTGCTTGTCACAAATGGAAGTTACTAACCCAGTGTAGTGGTGCATACCTATAACCCTAGCACTCAAGAGGCTGAAGTAGGAGGAACACTAGGAGTTCAAGGACAGGCTAGGCTACATAGTAAGTTCAAGGCCACCCTGAATAGCATCACAAGATCCTGTCTCAAACAAACAACTAAAGAAACAAAAACCAAATGGGAGGTATCACTTGCATCTAGTGCAGTGATGGGGAACCTTTTAGAGCTTTCAGTGATAACAAACAGCATGTCAAGGCAGAACCGCCGTAGGCTCACCACCACTGATCTAGTGTGTAGTGGCCAGGGATGATGCTCTAATAACTGGTATGCACCAGAATACCCCTATATGAATTCTTCAGTCTAGAATGTCAAAGGTACGAGAATGACCAGTAAGAAATGCTGGGGATATAGCTCAGTGGTACAGTTCTTGTTAGCAT